TTAGGTGCTCCGACAATTAGGTGGCTTCTAGGCGAGTTAGACGATTCTTACGGTTGCGAAGATAATCACACATTGATTGGTTAGATGGTTTAGGCAACAACCTTGGCGGTCCAGGCGCGATGATGAAGATCGTGTATCTCGATAACTAGGTTTGCTTCGAACTCGGGCCAACCGTCTTGATTCTCCACGGTAGATGCTTCGAAACATGCGCCGACGCTTTGATTTCTAAGCGATAGGTTGCTAATACGCGCCGACGCCTTCGTACTTCGCGATGTTGTGATGAAACGCAAATGTTGGTCCTATTTTTGTAAGAGTTTATATGTAAAACTCAAAGAATTCTAACACATGGAATTTGATGATCGAATCGATCGGTTTTCTTACTTCTTAACATGGACGAATATGAAAAAGAAGAACTAGGAACAAGTATTTAAAGGCCTAAAACTAATCCTAAACTCATGAGAAGAACTAAACCTATGGGAAAAATATAGTTTTAACTTAAAGAAACTAAATATCTCATGCTACCGTATCTAAGAAACTTCAATCATAAATAAACTCCTAAACAATCTAGGAAAATCAAGAATTATCTAACTAATAAGTCCTAAAAATCAGCGAGGATCCTTGGAGAAGCTTCTTGCATCTTCTAGATGGTTCTCGGTCACTTGGCGCCCAAGAAACCTCGTACAACCCTTCAGCTGTGTCTGTGCGCTTACGCCTTTGCGCGTTGGTCGCGCGACATTGTCGGTCGCGCCCCTTGCGTGTCCGTTGCCTGCTCGCATTTCCTCGTTCGCCCGTCAGTCTCGGCGTTCTACTCTCGCGCGGTCGTTGTCCGCGCGTCCGTCCAGACGCCCGAAGTTCTCGGTCCCAAGCGCAACGCTTGCGCTGCCTCACTCGCGAGACCTGTGTCTTCCCAACGCGTTGTCGGGTCTCGTTAGCACTTCGCCCGTGTGTTTGTAGCCTTGCGTGGTCTCTTTGTCGGGTCGCATGATGCTGCCCGTGCGGTCCCGTTTGACCCTTGCGCTATCTCGCACTATTTTGGCGGGCCTGTCGGGTCTTCTTAGCCCGTCACGCGATCTCCTCCATGCATGCTTGTCGTGCTCGGTCATGAGCATTCGTAGGCGCGAGACCCACATTCTCATCATTTCCGTCCCTTTTAAGCACATCTTTGTCCTCAAAGATCAGAATATGTCACTTGTGTACACTCCCTTCGTCCATGAGCTCTAAACTCCTTAACTCCGCGCCTTTAGCCCCGCTTCTGGGTTTGGCCTTTAGTATGACCAGCCTATTGTCTGAATACAACTCTATTATCCTCTCTTTATATTTTGTAGTGACCTTCTCAAGGGCTTCCAACCATTGTACCCCAAGAACTATCTCGGGCCCTACCAACGATAATGAATAGAGGTCTGTCTTTATGGTCTCGCCTTGAAGATTGATGGGCACCTCTCGGTAATCCTCAAAGTATCGTAGCTGTTCCCCATTGGCAACTCTCACATCAAATGGCTACACCTTAGTCGTTGGCAACTTCAACTTGTCAGATAATATGGCACTAATAAATTGACAACCCGATATCAACTAAACACCTCGATAGATTGTCCTCAAACTATAGCGAACAACTTAATGTTTCTCGGGCCATGCATCCCTGACATTTTTAATTGATCGAAGTCCTGAAGTCCTCTTTAACATAGTGCCTCGATTTATTCTCCAATTCCTCTTTAACATAGTGCCTCGATTTATTCTCCTCGGGTTTTTCCTCGTCTCCTTCGATGGCATACAACTGTTGTTTACGCCAATGTCCCAATCAAATTTCTCATTGCAACGGAAGAATAACCCACTGCTTATCCAGTGCTACCTCTCCTCTTCGAACAGTCGTTCCTTGATTGTCGTTGCTGAATTTCTGACCTTGGGCGTGCTGTTCGCGTAATTTTGTGGCTCCGTGCGCGGCTCACTGTCGTGCGCGTACGAGCGGCCAACCTTGCGCACCGCGACCAAGTGATTGTCGTGCATGCGTGCAGCCTCCATGACCTCCCGCAAGTTACTTGGCCTCTCGAGCCTAACCTCCACGGCAAGATCCGACTTAAGGCCTCCAACGAACGCGCCTATGAGTGCTCGCTTCGGCCAACAACGTACATGACTTGCTAGGTGTTCTAACTCCTTTTGTAGTCCCGTAGGCTGCCCTTTTGCCTAATTCGTGTCAAGGCCTCGTCAATATCATAATACTCAGATGACCTAAACCTCATGATCAACTCCTTTTCGAATTGCCTCCACTTCAACTTTTTACCTTTTTTTCCAAAAAACGTGCGAGACCTATTGCCGCCATGTATTCACCTCTCCATCAAGATAGTAAGCGGCGTACTTTACACGTTCATCCTTTGGAATCATGTTGAGGTCGAAATATTGAGTAGCTCGACTCAACCAAGCGTCTAGATCCTCTCCCTTGAATGTGGAGAGAAGAAGCTTCGATTTTTCGAACCTCCGCTCCCTATGTCGACATGAACCCCTAGACCCTCGTGACCGGTGGTCCATCTCGCCATCATCCTCGTTGTCCTCATATTCTGAAGGGGATTACACCTCCGAAGATGACTATGACTTAGGCCTTCTCTGCTGTCGTTGTCGTGCAAGCTACGCAATATCGGCTAACGATTGAATTGATGCAGATAGTGATTGCTCGAGCTTCGCCAATTGGTGATTTGTGGCGTGTTGATTGTCTTGCACGGTCTTCATGTCAGCTTTCAAGGATTGCACGTCTTTGATTATGGGATTCAGCCCCATCTCCAATTTCTTGATCCTTTCCTTATGCGTATTCGTCATTTTTCTTCCCTCTTTATTTTTTTCCTCGCGATTTTTCTTCTTTTTTATTCGTCACGGTTTTTCTCTCTTTCATGTAAGACTCTCGAACTTAACCTAAACTCAACTTACACACACACACACACACACACACACACACACACACACACACACACACACACAGACATATATATATTAAGAACTCGTGAAAAAAATCACTCATTTTTTTTTCGAACTAAAAACTAAAAGCTAACAAAGTACACGATCAACACCTCTCAATGAAAGGAACAATGATTAAGATCGTGTATTTTGATAACTCGGTTTGTTTCAAATCGGCATCAATTGCCTTGATTCTCCGCGACAGATGCTTCGAAACCCATGCCGACGCCTTGATTTCTAAGAAATGTGTTGCTAATACGTGCGTCGACACCTTCGTACTTCATTATGTTGTGATGAAACCCGAATGTTGGTCTTATTTTTATCAAAATTTGTATGTAAAAATCAAAGAAGTCTAACACACGGAATTTGGTGATCGAATCGATCGATTTTTTTTTTTTATTTCTTAACTTAGACAAATATGAAAACAAGAACTAGGAACAAGTATCTAAACTAAAACTAATCCTAAACTCATGAGAAGAACTAATCCTTAGAAAAATATAAATCTAACTTAAGGAAACTAAATATCTTATGCTACCTTATCTAAGAAATCTCAATGATAAATGAACTCCTAAACAATCTAGGAAAAACCATGAAATATCTATGTAATAAGTCCTAAAAAACGGAGGATCCTTGGAGAAGCTTCTTGCGTCTTCTAGATGGTTCTCGGTTATTTAGCGCCCATGAAACCTCATCCAGCCCTCCAGCCGCATGCCCCAGCACGTTAGTCGCACTGCATTGCCGGTCGCGCCCCACACGTGTCCGCTTCCTGCTCGTGTGTCCCGTATGCCCGTCTGTCTCGGTCTGCTACTATCACACGGTCGTTGTCTGTGCGTCCTTTCAGACACACGAAATTATCAGTCCCCAGCGCAAAGCTCGCGCCGCCTCGCCCGTAAGACCAATGTCTTCCCAGCGCGCTGTCTGGTCTTGTCTGCACTTGCCCGCGTGTTCGCTACCTTGTGCCATTGTGCGGTCTCGTCGCCCAGTCGTATGTTGCTGCTCGCACGGTCTT